TGAATGCTCATAAGTTTTCTACGAATATTGAGGTGATCTCTCCGCGGTACGGCTTTCGAAACAAAAGCCATTCTACATTCAAAGTTGCACTGAATCGGCAGGAAAAAGTTACGGTTACAGTCTGGACTCTGATGAGCCAAGTGCTTATTCCGGGCAGAAATCAGCACGGGAAGAACTTAATAAGACTCACTGAAGACCTTTTGATTTGTAAACAGCTCTTGCCCCTCAGTGATTGCGGCACGTGCGTGGCGTGGCAAGGAGAAATGAGTCACTGAGAGGTTAGGTTTTCCTTCGCACTGTTGCTTCAATTCTTCGAAAAGAAAGTCGAGTCTTCTTTGGGAAATGCCGAAGCCTGACACAAAAAGTCTGAGCCTATTTGTCCAGACTTTTGTTCAATTTTTGATGTTATAGAATTTTATGTACGTCCAAAGAGCCATTATATGCCACCGATAATATATCTGTGTGGAAGTACTCTGAGTATTTCTGTAATCGAGCAAGTGCAACAGTATGGTGCATATTAGGTTGTTCGGAAAATAATGCGGGTTTTCGACCTCCATTTTCAAAGAGGCATTTTCACTCAAATCAAACATTTTTTGTCATAAGAAAAAATACTGGGAAGCACCAATCCTTTCTCAACAAGATTCGCATTGAAATGTCCTTCCCACATTGAAATCAGCGCTGCTAGAGGCGATGACATCGTCGAGCATCATTTTCACATCAATTTGAACATTGAAGCATTTCTTACTCAAGAAGTTGTCGAGATCGTTGGAAGGGGGTATTGCTGGGAAGAGAGTCCACTGAGCACTGACGCGTTGGACGAAGCTTCGGGCGCAGTTGTTTCAATATTGTGAGGTGTTATGAATACGCTCTGCTGTGCGTCACCAGAGGACGCTTTGAAGTACTTCTCTCGGTTTACGACTTGATGGTTTCTAGAGCATCTCATCTGTGTGCTGGAAAGACATTGGTGTTGTGTTAAATCCGCCCGGTTTCCGAGAGCTGGGTTGGATTAGTCCCGTGGAAGACTACGGAATGTTGAGCTCACCTTTAATCTTCTATGATTTCAGCCTTGTAGAAGTTTTTGAGATTTCATCGCAGTGAAATATTAGAAAGATGGCTTTCTGTAGTTGCAAACAGTTCACCTTCTGTCGTAGATGACAGTGCATTGTGAAGACTAGTAGTTTTTATTACGTAAAACAGTGGAAACCGCCCCTTTGGAAGACGATGTTGCTGCTGCTTCGTTCAGCCAGTCGAGCCATGTGTTCGGATTTTTATTCCTTCGATGATCGTGTAGTTGATGCGTGTATTTTTCCATCATCTATTTCTTATGGTCTACTGCTTGCTCACTATGGAATTCTTCTGAGCCAAAGCTTGGGAGCCAAGGCTGTGCTGCGCTTCTGGAGGTGCTTCTTCGGCCTAATCTTCCAATGTTACTTTGCCAGGTTTAAGGAGCCTTATGTCAGGACTCGAAGAAAACTTGCCCAAACCACTGTATTGACAACTTCAGTTCAACTCTATGAAAAACACCAATATAACGAGTAAAACAAATTCAATTTACTGGGGGAAAGAAGATAGAATATGCTTGCCAGTGAAATATAGGGTTTCAGGTCTCAAAGGAAGTTTCAGTATAAAACATTCCAAGTATGCAAGGCATCTAGAAACCCGCATTACTTTCCGAACAACCTTAATAGATTATGATGAGACGTGCAACACTTGGTTCATTCTCAAATAGATTAGGTTGAGTCTGGTTCCCATCCATAACAATGTTCAACCACATTTTAACAAACGAAAATCAACATTCAAAAGACTCTTTAGACCTCCGTTGGTACATGTGGGCGGAGAGGCAATTCATGTCAGTTAATGAGGTCCACCGCTCACGCGACAGCGTGATGCGCGCGCGGCGTTTCTGTATTAGGACTCGGTTAACCATCACATGTGAATAAGTTTGCGCGTTGGGCTGGCCTCGGTATGATTAAGGCAGAATGCTAGCCTAGCATCAGGTAGCACAAGCGCCACCTTAAAATCTCCGGAGCGATTTAAGCCATACAAAGCTTGTACCATGTAAAGGTTGTTCTTTGGATCTAATCTGCTTTTTTATCCAATCAAGGCTGATTCTACAGGAGTGATAATCTGGTTCCAATAGAAAAGTCCACATTTCACATGAGAAGCGCCGGAGGGTCAATTTATAAGTGTTGGCGTCTATTGACGGAGTGTGCTGGGCCTCGATTTTGGTTCACTCACACTGTCAACCATGCAAGCAGTCTTTTTTTGAGCGAACTACGGCTTCTGTACTTATGAGCTTACGAGGTTTGACGTCAAGCCAATTTGTCTGACATAAAGTCGAACATTGACTTGACGTCAGAGCTGTACCAGTTCGATCGGCTACGTATTGTTTAGCTCGTCCGACCTGGCGCGTGGCTCATTGCTTGGGAGCGGCGCGGTGGTTTGGACGATTTGGCCGCCTGTCGTTGGAGTGACGACGTGTCACTAAGCGCAGTAGGGTGACCTCAGCTTGATTATTAAAAGCTCCTTTGGCGTCTACAGCTTCCACGCCCTTGAAGAGTGATTTTTTTGGCATGTATCCGGAAACATTTTGGTTTCCATGGTTGGAACACGTTTGCATGAATAGGAATCTGAATTCTTGTTTCCTAAGTTTCATCTTCTTTGAAACTTTTCTGGCTCATTATTCACGGAGGCGGATTGGACTATCAAACGTTGTATTTTGCAAGCAGTTTGAGGGATAAAGCGGTTGATGTAATTCAGTTCACGCTTTGAACTCTCAAAAACTTGAAAGGAGATGGGGAGTCTTGTCAGGACCTGCTCAAGAGGAGTCACGAGAAACTTACAGAACGCGGCGGTTGACCCTAGTTCGGCCTCTTCTGTCTATGGGATTTTCTGCATCATGTTGCTAATGGTAGCTTACTTCTTTGATAGTACCTAATTTTGCGATATATGAGGGTTCTCACTTCTTATGGTAGACTGACTCTATCAGTACGCATTGAAGGATACATTGATGGAAAAGGCGCGGGAACAAGCAACACCGCTCGGCAAACATTGGTTGAAGAACAACACGGAAATGACTTTGATGTAAAGTGCAAATTCTGGCATACGAGACTGAGATTTCCGCCAGGAAAGCGCTTGAGGCATTCTGGATTCACGCGCGGAATCCCAGAATGAATAACCGCATGAGTGTTTATTTCCACAAATGATCTTGTCGTTTGCACGACATTGTGAGCTACTCATGTGAAGTCGGGTTGTGTGAGTTATTCTCCCGTTTGGGTTTTGGTCGCCCCCCCCTGAACGATCCGTGAGAAACGCTTGGGGAGGCGGGGTTGGCGGTTTGAAGGAAATCTCTCAAACCTTGAGCCACGCCTAGGCCTTTGAGGAGGACGATCCCGTTGAAGGTCAGACCACAAATAAGGTCTCTACATAGAAACCTCGTTGGCAGGAAGTGAACGTGAACGTTAACAATGCTGAATCTCTACTAACAGAGAATTTGAAGTTTGTATTCAATACATTTTGTGGCAGTATCCGCTATTTTGCTGTCTTGACCGATTCGTTTCTGAGAGGAGATCCTCTGCGCTTTGCTATGGAGTGGGATGTCCTTCAGCAGGATACGCTTTGTTTGAAGTCAGCTTCACTTTCTGAAGCTTGTCATCATCTTATCGCCGCCCGTAGACTTGGTCCCAAGCTCACCGAAGCAGTGTTAAGATTTCCACATAAGATCAGCACAGTGCCCACGAGAATTAATGGAGCGCATAATTGTGGAACCCTACTAGCAATCAGCAGCCGCTACGTAAACTTTATAAGAAAGTTGTGGGCCTTCGAAGTTTGCAAAAGGTGAACTCTTGTACCCGGCGGCGAGGTGACTGTCCACTGCGAACGTCACAGCATACGTGACAATGGCTTTCTTAACGGTTTACGGACTACTTGATTTTTCCTCAATGGTCCTGCCGCGATGGCTAGAGCACAGACGATTAGAGAACGGGGACTAAGCCTTGGAGAGGAGAGGGACCCGCGAGAGAGCGCAGAGGCGGTTTAAAGGGCTGAGTTCAAGTAGTCCGTCGACCCTTCCTTACACAGGTTGCCTGCCAGTGAAATGGATTGGCCAGCGCAGGTTATCTTCTCCCAACTGTCCCTCATTACATCGTCATTTACCTCCTATCACCTAACACTATAAACTACTTGTTATTAGATTCATTTGGACCATCCTCGCTTGTGCGCTTGTGTAGAGTCCGTAGTGTAAAATCTCTTGGCCGCCGCCTACAAAGTACATAAGAGGCGAGCTAATCTCGGTGCACTGGCTGCCATATGGGTACCGCTTCAAATTTTGAGGAGTGTATCGCGCAATTATTGTTACCCGGCATGACATCTTTAAATGAAACGATTAAATAATATACAGCAAGCCATTTCAAAATAAGCATTTACAACTTGTGGGTTTGCAAGCTGTCAGAGAGCCAGAGGCAACACCATTGATTGAACAGGCACAGAGCGCGCTAAATGCGCGTCATGCCCTGGAGTGCAGTATTGACGCTCTTCGCACTTCCATATTACTTAATGTCCATACTGTCTGCACCAAAGCAAGTTATGAAATCAATCTTAGAGCGTGAGTACATTTTTTTGAAGACCTCATATCACAGAAGATGTTCTATAGACTAAACGAGGATGAGTTGATCCGCAAAAATTATGTTTGCCTCTGTCAGCCACTTGCTCGTGCACTGCAGTTAACCTTTGCAGTTAGAATTGAAGGTGGCGCAGAATATTGTAAGTTTCCTCCGTGGTTGGTGTATCAGTGCAGTCCAGATCACTGTATTATAAAAAACATGATTTTTTAAATAATCAGTTTTTATCGCATTTTAGGGGCTTAAAATTCGATGAGGGAAAATAAGTTGTGACCCATGATAGGTTAGGTGTCAGGTTGGTCGTTATCGTGATTTCATGGATTTATTGCAGGCAAATATGGGCTTACTTCCGTGGGTAAAAGCGTTGGCGTGGTTCGAAGAATGCCTCCACCTGCAACGCTTCCCTCATTGAAGTCCGAAAACAATGGCCAGGATCCGAGCGTTGTGGTAGTGCCCTTAGGTAAGTATTGTTTCGACGAGTGTTTATGCGATATACACTGCTAGTCATTGTCATTCTGCTACCCATGAATCTCCGAAAACTTGAATTTCATTGCCTGTTGAGATTACTCTGGTTAGAAAATGTGTTACATATCACACAAATGCGAGTGCATAACTCCAGATTGCACTTTGAGATCTCACAAAAGTTTCGTCAACTTTTTAGGAAATGTCGCTTTGACCATTATCAGAATGATGTAGGCTACCTCATAGTTATTCTCTGCATTTCATTTTTGATCGTTGAAACTGGTCAAATGTTATCAATTTTCTCTCTTCTTTGATTGCAGTGTTAAAAGGGGAAGATGAAAAATGTTGTGGGATAGAAAAACAAGAAGAAGATGTACATTTTCGCAGACATGAACAAAGAATTAGTCCAGATTCATTTGACTCGGCTACAGTTCTTGGCTGTGTTGCTGCATCAGGTTGCTACCTGGCCAAAGTGACATTTTTTCCAGTCAGGAAAAACTTTCATGTTTTCGAGCTGGTTTCTGTGGGTTTAGTATGCATTCATACATTTTCAATCTGAAGACTTTCTATAAAAATCTTGGGAAGCGACTTTCAGGAGAATTTGTGTGGCTGTATAGTTATGTGATCATCTGTATGTTTTCCCACTCACCATATCTCTTAAGGAGGTGTCGGATGGAACAGAGGGGAACCGTCAGCTGAGGCTTCCGAAGTTGTGAAGGCCCATTCTTCGTCTTCAACTAACGTACTCGATTTGCGTCCCACCTGGGCGAAGCAGACACCGGACGCAGCAAATAGTGGAAGTAGTGGAAAAGGGGAGTTTCCCACTCTGTCGACCTCCGCTCAAGGGACCAGTGCTTCGCGAAAGACTCAAGGTATGTTAACTAATCATGAATATCTGATACCAACAAATTTTATGAAAACGTTTCAACGCTCTTTCTCCATCCTTCGTTTTTGATATGGTTTGTTGGGATTACAGTATCGAGATCTTGTTCAATCCCGGCCGTTGGGAAAACAGCGAGCAAGCTCTCCCACAGTGATTATTTCATAGGACAATTTATGAAAACTCTACCTGGATTCAAGCAAAAGAAGCTAAAAATCCTCCGGCCACAGCACGGAAAAACTCCAGCTCAAGAAAATCCGTCGATGTCGAGATTTTACCAACTACGCTCTCTCATTGAAGCCAACCTGTATGAATGAAAGATTGCTGTTGGCCATCACACTCAGACTTTCCGAGTCACAGCTGAGGAGGTCACACCTCCCATGAGAGATTGCTGAAACTCATTCAGAAGAGATAGGTTGACCAATTGCAAGAAACAAATGTTAGTTGTTTTTTCAATGAATTCAGAACTGATTATCACTACGAGAAGTTGTCAGGTTGAAACAACGGCGGAACGGCGTAACCTTTACGATGAGCCTACGACAGAGGGAAATGTGTCACGAGAGCAGCAAGAAAGTGCTTCGGATGGCACGGAAATTCCTTCAGGACACAGCGGGTGTGATTGTTTGAATTATCGCACTACTAAAATCGAGGTATTACGGGGAAAATAATCTATTGCGTCTGGATGCTCCAATAAGACTCGTAACTGGTGGATATGGGCTGGTCAATTCTTTTCGAAACTTCATTTACTTTAATGGCTATACTTTATCCAGCGTCCTACCACCCTCCTCAAGTGGTGACAGTGCGGCACTGAAGTCTGCTGGTCTTCCGCTAGGTCTAAGTCTTGCATCCCATTAGGTTGCGCAGAAAGAGTCGAGCCAGAGATTGAATGACTTTTGGCAGTAAATTCTTCAAGGGTTTTCAGAAAATAGTGTAGAAGTTTGTATAACAATCAGGTTTCCTGAAGCCTTTGCAACAGGGATCTTGCACCAAATAGGATAGGATCGGGATAGGATGATTCACGAATTTAATCTACAAATTCGTTTTTTGAATTATTTCTTATTCTTCTCCCTAGCATTTGGCCCGCACCGTCATTGTCCTCTGTCTTTATCAGCCGTCGCCATGTGCGCAGTACCGAATATTGCAATAGTTACAAATCACCTGTGTCACGCTCCTTGTCGTTGCGAATGAAGGTCACTTGTTTGACTTTTGCGTGGGTTAGGGACCTTAAGTAAGATTTATTGTAA